CTGGCTTGATGAAGTAACGCAATTTCAGCGGCTGGCGGGCATTATGCTGTTTTAATGTCGACGAGGTCAGTTGACGCATCTAGAAAGAACGAACGTATGTCGTACGTAAAGAAATACATAGGTAGTTGGCACGAGCCGCTCGACGCATCAACAAGCAGCGACGACGAGAGGGTCGCCTGCTTGCTCACTGGGCTAACGTTCGCTCGTGTGAGGTGAAGCCAATGTTATCTAAATGTAGTTGTTTCCTCAGAGTTGCACAGGGGAATCGAAGAAGAGAAAATGCAGCGCGTATCTTGATGCGAAGTTAGTATTAAAGCTAAGAGCACAGATGCCACGCGAGAACACATTTCAATAAACAGTTATAACCCAGTTGAAACCATTGACTAATTCAAAAAATGAACATCAACATTATCCGGCTCAACCCGACAGCCATCAGTATTCATTGTTTTTTTGTCGCTACCATGACCCTGGGTAATACTTTGCAAATATTTTTTTAACGAAAAATGCTGATCAAATCATACATTAGCCGAAAACTGGCCGAAAAATTCTGTTTGCTGTTGTTTTCGGCAAAAGGAAATTTGCTGAAAACATTCTTTTGTGTTTCTTGTTGCGGCCATCCGCTAAATTTATTCGCGTTGCATAAATATCTTGATTTATACTAACATGATATTATTATCGCTGTTAATTAGAGAATTGTTGATGGTTTATATTTTTTGTTGGGGTCCTGTGCCACTTTCTACCATCAACAACATAACGAACATATATATATATATACACATAAAGAAATCTTACTTAATCTCCCTTACCGATAAGTTTGGGTAGGATAATGATAAGCGCTTGGTCATAATCATATGGAAAAAGTTTTTAAAGAAATTATCATTGTACGCCAAACGACTTGGTCGGGTATAAAACTTGATTTTTCCAATAATTACCCTAGTATACCTGTTTTTTTCCTGAACTACCCTTTTTTTCACTATCTACGAGAACGCTTCATTCATCGTCAGTCGCCGGTCGTTCACTTTTGTTCCGTTTGAGCTTCACTTAGCGCTTATATCGCGTACAGCTTTACGCACAAAAACCGTATCAGAGATATCGTTGCTTTTCTACAGTCGACATTAAACGCACATATCTGTATCGATATGGTGTAAAAATGTTTTGGTGCAGAGAGTAGCGAGTTAGTTTTGATCGATATAAAAATTGATAGGGAGTTGCGCAAAATGGCAGAATCATGAGTAGGACAATTGCAGATCCTCTGACTCAGCCTGAACTCATTTCAGCGTTATCGGGCGAGATGTAACAGTTGCTGGTTGGTGTACTCTAATGTTATTATTGCGTTTCTAATGCTGGTCTTAGGCCAATCAGACGATGAGAATCAGCTCTTTGTCAGTAAACTTACCAAGAAGCAACAGTCCACGCTGCTTTTTTGTATTCTGAGAAAACGTAAGGAGGGTAACTTACTGCTGAAACGCACGCAGAACAATTATGATTCGCCCTGCTACCTTTCGATTGGATATAAAGAACCTCTGAGTAGTCGCTTCAAACATGTAAACAGGCGATAGGACCAATTTGTGTGGAGCCTTGCGTGGCTGGCTAGTACCCCGAGTGAACACAGGGAGGCCTCGGTTTTCTGTTTGCCCCGGGGCTGGCCGTGCTTTGATGAAAGCGGTAGGTGCCCGTTGCTTAGCGCCATTTCAATGGAACTCCTTGGTTCAGGATCATGCTTTTTCGGGACTGTTATCACCGAAAACAGTTCGTATTGGTTTTAGAGAGTATCTTAAGAGGTGTATAATCACGCTGTTCCCTGTCGCTAGTGTCTGTGGTTTTCATTCTTTTGACAAATTTGGAACCTTCAAAGTAAATTACATTTAGCAAAGAAATAGCTTAATTTTATAATTACATTGTACCTACTTTTTCTGGGGTTGTTTAGAAGGAGACCCATTTCAAAAAAGTACAGTGGAGAAGGGTAATTGGAACTTAGAATCAATTATTTCGTTCCTCAATTTGCAATCGGGCTAGGTATTGTATATTAACTTTTATACCGATATATCGCTAATTGAATCTTAGTCGGCGATTGAGTCGCCGACATACAGGAGGGACGCAGGTAGGCAAACACTGAAGCTATGGTCTGATGCACTTCTTCTATGGCTCGTACCTTGCTTATGAGAGGTAAGAAAAGTAACTACTTGAACAGAAGCCAGCCCTGAATTTTTCTGTGGCTTGCGTCTTTTTTTTTACCATATACACAGGTAAAGAACACACACATATATATTTTTGTAATAAGTTCTGCTCTGTCAAAAGTCTTCTCTCATGAGTGGTCACGGTTGAACATGCTACTGAACGAAAAGCTTTCCGATAAGAAAATAGTTCACATTTTTGAATATACAACTTTAAGGTTAAGACTTCGAAGTTCTACGATGTTGATGTACGGACTTGTTCTTCCGTGGATCGCGTTAGCACGGGCGCGGTCAAACAGCACAATGCACTTTATACTGAAACAAACTTGGAACAAAGAAAAAAAACCTCGTTGAGACTGTTTTTTTTTTTGGCTATCGTATAATTCTGTTTCGCAGATTCGCCTCGAACTGACCGCTTCAACTCGCATGGGATCAACGGTTGAGTCTGTTTGGTCTTCTTTCTCGCTGGATTCATGTCGGATACAATACATACAGGCATCAAAAATAGAAAAGCACATTGAAATGTTGAGGTTTTAGAAAAGTTTACGCTCCATATTTATTGTTAGAGCTCCCAAAAAGGACCAGAATGACATAATTGAGCTTCTACTTGCGCCAAAACAACGGCCACTACAACAAGAGATCAAGCTAGTCTGCCGAATATATGAGTAGCTACATAAGAACTTGCCGACATGATCCGCAACGGTCAAAGTCAACAGGAACAATGCGCACAACAACGGACAAATGACGCCACAGCCAGAAGCAGCAGAATAAGATAAAAAAAATTGGAAGAACTGACAGAAAAAGAGACGAACCAAATCCAAACAGAAAGATAGAGGAAAAACAACTGAAAGAACGGCAGTTTTCGGAGCTCTGAGGCAGCGGCAATCTGTAAACAGTTCTTCTGTAACAGCAACAACAACAACAACAAACAGATGAACGAGGACAACAATATGAACCGAAACTCAACAAGCAGCATCTGTGTGTCGTTCTTTTTCTTCGCCAGTTGGATGATCGTTCGCCTTTGAACAAAATGATGCGCGTCCAATCGCTACTACAACTGTTGTAGCTGTCGCCGTCCAGCTTATTTTCTCATTTACTCTACTAGGTTTAGCTGGTGTCTACAAAGAAAGCTGCTGCTGTTGTGGCCAAACGTTGCTACGTTTGCGATGGTGATAGGGGACGAAGCACGCGACCCAGACGACGTCGAGAGTGTCCGCTTCGTATATTTGCAGAGCAATGTTCGACTGCCGAAAGTAGGCGACGTCTACTCCTATGGGAAACTCTCACGAGGCACTTTCACCACAATAGAAGCGCCAGCAGCCATAATAGCGGTAACACAGTACATGGACAGATATACGGACACACGCAAACATACGGAGACACATTACGGAGGACGGCGGCTGGTTGCAAAACCATAATGAGCAGCATAACGCGCCAGACAAAATGTTTTTGCCCCCAACTTTGTATCACAGTAACACCGACTTTGCCCCACCGAAAAAAAGAGTGACGCTATCACGACAAAAATGATGGCTAATCATGTTAGCCCAAGTAGTCAGAAGGGGGCGGGAAATGTTAGACTGAACGTTGCAAGCTGTGAGCTGAGGCAAGCTAATACAAACAAAACACGAATACGAAAATTGACACAAACAATTAGATATTACATATAGTAACGGATTCAGTTTTAAAATTATTATTCAAGGCTATCCGTGAAGATAACTTGCAAGTTCAGCGTAATTAATGGGAAGTGGTCATTATGATTTAGCCCGACTAAGGACATCAATGGGACGTTCTACTAAGGGTTAAGGTAACTTATAGCCAAAAAAGCAAAGTGACAAGGATTAGTAATGGTTCGAAAGAGAACATATGCCATGAAACACTTAATAACATCATTAGACGTAGAAATTTAAATATAGGGATGATCCTTAAAGTCAAAATAATGATAATTATCATTACTATGATTAGCAATATTATTGTGACATACATGTTTTTCGGTGTCTCGACATTTATTCAAGCGCTGTTTCTTCTATCAAGCGGTCTTTCCTGTTCATTTTTTTAATATAAGTAAACAATACAACACCTGCATAGTCAATTCTCTCGTGTATGTCGCAGTGTTCTCTTGAGACTGTCGATTGATTCCACAAGCGGATAGAAATCCCATGCTCAGCATGGGATTTCTATCCGCTTGGACAATCTAATGGACGTACAATCTGATGACTTTAAAGTCTTCCCTGTGGAAGATAAGGTACGTGGTACGTGGTTTGCAATCGTGGCCAAATATCCTATCGACTGACATCGTATGTTTGTTTTTTTTCCATTCTCGTGAGAGTGTTCAAACTTCTCGGAGCTTAATTCAGGCTAGCGTTTTCTCTTTCATTTCTGGATTCTGACCTACGCTATTCCTAGTCATAACGTGGCACACGCAATGATCCTACGTATTGCGTATACATTAAACACCGCCCCAATATTCAAATGCCACTTTGAGATAACAGATTTTGTTGTTACTTGTTGTTAAATAATTAAGGCGCCAACAAAGGCGGCAAAAAGCCACACAGTTCGATTTGTCCCTCGGTTGTTAACCGTCGTATTCCGAAGCGAATTACTTCGACAATAGTATCAATATCAGTGAAATAATAATAAACAGACGCAAAACATTTAGTGGTCTTAAAGAATGACCGACAGAAGTAAGACTCCGCGTCATAATGATGCATAGATACACACGACGTATCAACCACTGAATGAGGAGCCGGACAATTGAGGCGAACGAGTCCCTGCGTCGAATCTAAATAAACGTACAGTGGTTAACAAAATAACGCGCTGCCTCGAATAACCGTTATAGAAAGCTTCAGTCAAATTATGATCGCCCGTAGAACAAATGGCTGCGCTTGTAATGTTACCGCGACAAGCACTCCTCTAGCCTAGGTTCACCTAGTGACGTTTATCTGTTTGTGAAATTAACTTTCTCGGTTGTGTATAAAAACTGACATTAAGCGACTTGGTTCAACCCCAAGCTTACCCGTAGTCGACTCTACTTTCGATAGAAAAAACGTATGTAGACAAAGTTGAACTTCTCGCTTCGTTCGGTGTTACCTATATGGTGCTTGTATTTGTTAAAAACGACGAATTAGCTGAACAGACGGAAAAATGCTACGAACACTTAAGCCGGTAGACTGTAAAACGTGCATAAGCGACTGAATCTAAATAAGTAACAATGTCACTACCCTTTACCACTTGCTTTGATGTACTGCATAACAGCTACGGCTGAAGGGGTACAGGGGTGACCGGTTAATTAACGGAAGGTCGTCCGTAGAAATCTGACTTCAGCGTCGTGGTCAGCAGCATTTTTAGTTCTTGTCCCCTCTTACGCTTGGGTTTTGCCTGTGTTCATTTGATATAGAAGAGCAAAACGCTTGATGAAATCGATGTGACATAAAGAAGAAATTGCAGCAACGTAACACGTAATCGGACATGCGTAAATATTAAGCGAGCGTATGTAGCCACTCATCCATACGAGCGGATGTGACAATGCGTGCAATATTCACACATGATGGTCGATTGGTGGCGCTGTGGCGAATTTTAGCGATGCACGACCAAACGTGCGGAGCACGTGAGTCGAAAATTCAACCATATGTCAAAACCAGCAGAAGGCGCAAAACTAGAACGTCAAAAGTAAAGAGACAAATCAAGATATCAGCTGCACATCCCCATTCGACCAATGATTTGCGTATTGAGCCAGCTCGTTTCATACGGCCAAATGCTAGACGTGCAGGCTTAGCCGAATTATTAAAACGGGTTCACAGAAGACAAAAGACCAAAAAAAAAAACAAAAACAAAGAGATCCTTATTCATATCTAAGAGATTATTGGCTATCATCGTGTCGTCATATGTAGATATTTCTCTACTTACTGTAGGTGGGTATAATGATCTGGGTGGCACTTCTATAACGGGAGAGCTAGTGTTAGAAAACGTAAGCAGAATACTCAAAGGAGAAGGGGTCTGACATCGTCCTTTTTGACTTAGCCATCGAGGTGACCGACGAATTTGCACCTTCCAGAAAAATACGAGGGGTTCCCTTTGTCACGAAAGATCGTGAAAACACGTGTATCGCGAACAGACCGGATCGTTGGACGTGCGGTTTATGATTATGCAGTGTTCTGTGGCGATAAAAAAAACATTGAAAATAAACGAGGGCAGGTTTCGTGATCTTGAAGATGTTCGACAAATAATTTAACCGTGGGTGTCAGGGGGATTATTATTTAAAGAAGATGATTACATCTATCGCTCCAAGAGGTCCAACAAGTACGTCTCTCTACACCGTGATAAGCAAAAATCCACTACGATTAACAATCGTGGCCTGAAATAACCTCGCTGTTTGAGAACTGTCGAAATACCCGTGTCATCGATAGGGGGCCCGTTCGTATTCAATAAGGTCGTATGACGTTTTCTTTGATGCCATTTAAAGACAGCTGATTTGGATATTGTTTTGGTGGTGGAAGATCTACAGTTCGTCTTTTATCGCCCACTTCATCAAAGTCACTACATTACCATTATATTAATGTACCAAAAATAAAAGCTGTATTTGTTTGTTTTAATCTCTGTGTAACGCCTTTTCTATACGCAACACTTTGTACCTGCTCTATTACATAATAAATATATGTTCGACACAATGAGCTCGTTTATCGAAACATGTTTACGAGCTATCTCTACATTTTGTTTTACTATTGACATCGCCCTTACCCAACGATGGGCATCTTAAAACCTCCAGATACTCCTGTGGGAAATGAATCGCTTCCATAGACACACAGTTACCTGCATTCGAACGACAACGATCTACCAACAGCTTCATGGTATATTCAGCCTGTCGAAGAAGCCAATTTAGATCCAACGGCAGAAATCAGTTATGGAACAAAAAAAAAAAGTTATCGAATGGATCGGCACATAGAGGTGACTTGTCACTGTCAATGAAAGTTGCTCTCGTCGTTAATGCCAGACGCTATACAGCAGCCGTTGCTATGCGTTTGTAAAATACGCCTATCGCAATGGAACGAATATCTCTCTCATTGTTCATTCTATTCATCTACATGAGATTTCTCTAATTAGTTGCACTCTGAATATAACTCCTCTATAACTTTGCTGCCGTATTTCTTTTTGGTCTTCGTCATGTGAGCGGATATTATCTTAGCGCAAAAGATAAGGGTGGCGCATTCCACATGAGTAAAGGAAACCATATTGGCAAGATAGTATGGCATGAGAGTCGGAATTTGTCGTTATCTCGCTGCTGTACGAGAATGATAAGGAAGCAAGCCGAACGGTGGAGGTCGGCCTCGAGTGAAACATCTTACATGACTGGACTAACAACCACCAGCTGCATATCGCCTCTTGCTGGTCCCCGCACGCTCTGATCGATCCATAGGTTCTACTGATCATCGAACAGACTGATGACATCGCCAACGGAAACGTCAAAAATAATCGCTCAACGTTGTACGAACAAAAGCTTAGTGCGAAGCCACGTTTTTTAACGGCACGTAAGACCGGACAGATATCATTCGGCCAGGATAAGCAGTTCCCTTGTCTGAGCTTAAGCTTACTACTGTTTTCATACTATGAAAAATGCAAGAAGTGAGAAAATGTCGGATTTTCTATCTGTACAGCGTACTTCTGCTTTTTATGGCATATATATATATAAGCAATCATCAAATGGTATCCGCTACCTCAAGTGTTTTGCTTTAGCAACCAGTTTTTCACTAAACTACATACAGAGTGACGATTAATTGGGTTCCTAGCCAACGTAATTCGTAAACAAAGCTACAAGAAAGAAGGTAATCGACCTTTTCTATATAGAGCCTGCTAAGGCCTTCGACTTAATTTGCGCGTTTTGTAGAACAGAAGAGGGCTCTAAACTCTGTTCTGTTAAGAAGTGAAATTGAAAAACAGATTACCTACAGTTTAGAAGGTAAGATACGTCAGCCAAGTCACACTACCAGATAAATCCAGTGCGAGCTTGTTACAACGCTGTTATCTGTTTTCCAGTCCCATCGCCAATACCCGTGCGCCTCTCGACAGTGACTTTAGCGAATTTCGTTCGATATCGACTGGTCCTTCTTAGCTTGATGATCCATCAGTCGGGCTGCGATTTGACCTTTATGCCGGCTTGGCAATGGCTAAACATCGAACGTTACTACCTGTTAAAAGAAAGAATAACACTTACCCGAAATCTGCATGCAGTTTTTTGGTCTATTTATTTTGTTACGAGGCCAACGACACGTCAAAAAATTTTACACCTCTTAACAACTACGTAGATCTGCACAGAAGCCTTCAAAATCGATCGAACGAAACGGGTCTAATAAGCCTAAACACTTAGTTAGGGTATTCCCGTAACTTAAAACAACAACTATATCCTGCAACTTTCATCCCCAAAACCACTGTCATCATCATCATCATTCTCATCTCGATTCCTGCAATGACTGACCATAATCATCCGATTTCTATGAAGTAGAGTCGCTAGAACAACGGCGATCACAATGACATTACAGGCGATGACCTACTCGAGTGATCAGGCGCGAATGAATACCGAGCGGCTGATATACCCAGTGCCGACAATGTATCCAGCTCCAAGGTTCCATGGATTTCCCTTAGGATGAAGATCATCAACAGCAATTTATCATATAACTTTGTCATATATTGACGAACAACTGAAGATGATCGCTGTATTGTTGTGGTAGCAGTAGTAATGAAGATTATCACTCGGTGATGATAGCTACTGGTAAGCGACCTCGCTCGCCTTGATTCATCTTCGTGCGCGGCCATCTTTGGTAGTAGCTGTCATTGTAGGCATTCTCCAACGCTATTTTCGGATCTTTCTACGCTTTCCCGAATCAACTTCTTTTTATAACTTCACTTCTTTGGTTTGCGTTTTTTCTTGCCTTTTTTGCCTTTTGGGGATCCTTGATTTGGGCGCGGCGATTGCTGCTTTGTCGACTTTCCTTTCGGGGGCGCTTTTCCTTTTTTAGGCGACTTCGGTGATTTTGACATTTTGGCTGGTCTTTTTTTTGGTGACTTTTGCTTTGAAGGTTCGCCTTTCTTTGGCGATTTAGCCTTTGGTGATTGTGTTTTTGCATTCTTACCTTTTTTAGGTGATTTTGCTTTCTGACCTTTTTTCTCCTTCGGCGACTTTGCCCTTTGTTTCTTTCTTCCATCTTTGCCTTTTTTCTTTTTCGCCGATTTTGCCTTTCCCTTAGCTTTCTTAGGTGATTTCGGTTTGCCTTTTTTAGAAACTGGTTCCCCTCCAGGTATGGCCTGTGTCTTGAGGAGCTGAACCGGTATTGGCTTAGTCAGTTGTTCCGGAATTCTATGCAATGTTCGAGTATCAACATCCTCCTGTGGCTTCACGTCTTCGTCTTTTGGAGGTGGAGGTTGCGACGGTGTAATCGTCGAAGTGTCCCCAAGCAACGTCTGATCTGAAACCGAGGTATAAGCTGATACTTGACCTACTACATAGCGGCTGGGTTGTTCTTTTTTAACCTCTGGTATTTTAAGCGTTTCTGTGGTAGGCAGTTCTGGTGTAGACGGTGTAGGTGATTCTTTGCTTGACAGTTCTTCACTTAACCGTTCTTGGGCTGATAATTTTTGTGCCGGTTCTGTTTTAGCGGGTAGTTCCATGCTCGGTATATCCGAGCTTGAAAATTCCTTGCTTGATAGGTCCGAGCTAGGGAGCTCCTCGCTTGATGACTCCGAGCTAAGTCTCTCCTCACTAGGTCTACTCTCTTTACTTGGGCGTTCCTGGGTTGGCGCTTCCTTAATAGGGCGCTCTTCGCTCGGAGGTTTTTTGCTAGCGGGCTGTTCCTGCTCTTTAATAGGAGGCTTTTCTGGTTTCACTGAAACCCTCTTTTGAGTATCCCGCCGAGCTTCCTTGACAACAACTACAGATTTTGGCCATCTGGTATGCTTTCTACTTCGCTTCGATTTTTTGATGACCGATTCTTTCTTTCCCCTCTTAGTTGTTGGGGATACGGATTTAATTTTTTTCTCGGATTTTTTTACCGGCTTTTCTGTTTTTACATCAGAATCCTTCTTTTTAGTTTCTGGCGGCACTACCTCTCGTCCTTCTGGCTTCTCTTTTACACTCGGAGTAACAGATGGAGTCTCAGAAGGAAACTCACGCCTTGTGATCTTACGTCGGTACTTTGGGGATGGGTGATCCCTGGTCTCGAGAACTTCGAGAGAAGCCGATAGGGAAGATTCAAAAGCACCTTTTCGTTCTATAATGTCCTTTTTCAGTTCATAGAGTTGCTCAAGTTTATGGAGTTCTTCCTCCGGAGTAAGTTGTCGTCGTTTTCTTGGGGGCCGAACCACATGCGGTTCTGATAATATTGGCGTTTGACGCGTAGCTGCCTCCGCCTGTTCGGGAGTCGGTCCTTCTGCTAGCAAGTACAAAAAAACTAGCCCAAGAAACAGAATGACCAAGGCAACAGCGACACATAGCACTAGGATCGCCCATCCCATCGCAGGCGACCTATTACCACACTAACGAGACGCCTATTTTGGGAATACTATAAATCAAGCCTGTACATGGGAGCTACTACGAAAGCTGTGCCTGTGACAACATTTTACTTCGGAAACAACGCTGAAAACAATGCTATAATGAATATTTTGTATGTGTTTATGATATTGTATAGAATAGATTTAGCAAGACGACGTTCGTTATCCTCGAGCCATAGGGTTCCCCGCCCGTGCCCCATTGCGTTAACATATTGCTCGCTTTTGAACAGCCTGTATCTGCTGCGAATCTTAGATGGAAATCTCTTATATTAGAATGTAATACAAGCAGGCGGTCTCCGCCCAATTCGTAAACGCGCGGAATTTAAAAATCGTTGAATTACCCATTTCGGACTGTTGACTTCATACTGTTTACTTCACAGGTATACCAGACTGCTAATTTGAGGTAGCCGATTATAAACCAAATCAACAAACTATATATAGAGCTGAATTGGTTTTCTTCTTTTATTAGGTGTCATTTATGATAGTAATAGAAGAATTGGTAGAAAAAATTAGAATTATCTAAAGAAGCTATTTAGGAAGATACGCTGAACAGAAACTCGATTTATCGACAACGTAGATGAACTTAGGGATAAAAAGCACTCATGGCCAGATATGTATTTTGGATAGACAGGTGCCCGGCTTGAGACGGCACGACGACCGAACGTACGATTAATGATTTGTAGACGGAAGTTAATGTCGGTGGAAAATAGTTGCTTCTTAGGCTTTAGATGGACCTTCCTTGGTTCTTCCAATAACAATGCGCCTTCGCGGGAAAGACTCTTGTTCGGGAAACGTTTCTGCACGGCCTCCAATGATGTTCGTTATTGTCTAGTAATTGTGAGGATACTTGGATACTCACAAGACCCACCTATTTATTCCGCCAGCGTTCTGGAAGTCGTTGTTGTTGCTCCAATATATCTTAATTGTTTCTGAAGTGCTTGGAACCTTTTTAGACAAATGGTTATAGTTTACCAGAATTAATCCGCAAAACGTTTCATCAGTTCGTAATCGTGAGCTCTGAAGCAGAGTGGCACCTACGCAAGTACTCAGCACGAGGTAAATGATAAGCAAAAAAAAATAAAGGTAAATAAAAACAAGAGAAAATTATTTAATTAATTTTGACATCAAAAAAAGTGAAGGATATAGCGACCCTTCCAGACGCCCAAGTAGCTTCATTTTTACACAAATGAAACCTTTGCAGATGTTATGCACTCGATCTCTGTTAATATGCTTTTTTGCTTATAACGCATCGATGACACATACTCAGCCTAACATCGCCACTTGTGCTGCTCCTTTATATAAAATAGGCAAGTACAAGTTCTATTTGCTTTTGTATTTACTATTTGAAACGCACTATTCAACCATTGTCAGCGACCCAATATATTAGTTATCCCTTAAAAATAATAACGACAACTCTCTGAATCCGTTTTTTTCGAAGTTGTGCAAAATTTTTGCGACCCCAATATTTTGTCATGGGGTCGACCGCCGTCATTTTTGTGCTCCATTTGAGCCTCGCATGAAATGCACACGAGTGATTAATCGGGGGCTTCTTTATTTTGTTTCTCTATATCAACCATAAACTATAAACCAGTTGGTGTAAATTGTCCCCGTCTTGCTCATAGTACATCTGGAAACCGTGCTCCACGATTTCGACACGTAAATTGCAACCGAAAATGGATGCTTCACACCAAAGTCATGCTCTTATTTCCGAAAATTATTATATCATAATCGATCAATTTGTTGGCCTTGTTGCGGCAGCCGATTCAAAGAGCGCTATATGATACACATCAAAGTAAAAGATAGAAGTTCCCTCTGTTTTTAGATGCGCGGTTGGCGCTTTCGTTCGAAGGATTCAATTGATCGTTTCAGGGTATCTATTCTGTTGTTATTGTAAGCCCTAACCCAGTATGACAAAGAGAAAAATCATATTTCTATCGCTTGCATGTGATCAAAAAATGTCTACTCAATATATGCTAGTCAACTTCCAGACTCGTCATGTGCGTGGCTAAGTTGACTAATTTGAAAAGTTCCACTTACCCTTATACTGTGGGTCACGGTGCTGCTACCTTTTGATATAGGCATTCTCTTAGCTATAATAACCCCATGCTGGATCGAATACTGATTTGTATAAATATGCAATTTCGGGTGAAATGCAATTTTTGGACACCCTGTCTAATGCATACGGGAAACCCTATTGATATGAGATCATTTGTTTTCCCCCAAAAATATCATTTGGCTTTTTAAAGTCTAGGGGCTGAACTACTCAGTCCGCTGCCAGTAAACGTACCTCATCTCCAAACGCCAAACTGTTACGGCTGTAGAGGTTCACTAGAGTATACACAGAGTTCACATCATAAGTACATATATACTAGAAAAAACTTTGCCGGACCGTTTGTCGTGACGAACGTACGTTTACCTGCTGCTGCTGCTGCTATTGGTAGCAAACGAAAGTCAGTAGCTTTCACAACAAATCACCAAGCTTGTTCTGACTAACAACAGCGCGTCGTTTTAGAAACTTAAGCAAGGATCAGCTGTTAGCCAATTCCTAGGCGTCATATGAACAATTATCAAGGTTATAAACTTCTTAGGTCACCCCGAATCGACCAGAAAGGTGTATGCAGCTGTAGAGAAGACAGAAGTAGGTTCCAATCTAGCAGAATAGAAAATTCACGACAAAAAAAAATGATTCGGAAGTCCAAAAGTGCATTTCTAATGATCCCTTCTGTTTCGATTAGTTCGCTGGTGAATAAAATGTATGTGGGCGAGCGTACGGTGTCACAGATTAGTCACGAACAGCGCATGCGCGTATCATATGCCACAAAAATCATACAGATGTTCCTCGAGGACAATAAAAATAAGAGGATAAACCGGTATCCTTTGCCGCTCGGTTCGCTTGAGGGAGCAGCAGATCGTTCATGATTTTTCCCTGACAAAAAAATGTTTATCCTCGATGCAAAGATGAACTGCAAATATAATCGCTGGCTTTCTCACGACCTACTGTAGATAGCAGAAGAAAACGTCATATCGGCGTACTTCTTCCAGAATGGCGAACGTATTTTTTTTAGAAGTTTGTCTACATATCCTACGAACTGTTGCACAGTCATGGGGAGCTGAAGTATCTCAAGGGAGACCATGTGTTTTCTAACAAAATCGTAGTATACCGCCTCGATAACAGTGCAAGTTCGGATAAGTTCGGAGCTGGCTGCTTAAGAACAGAAGCATACATTGCGATGCGCACATATGGCCTTTAGAACAATTTGAAGTTGTTGGATTACTACGCGATTCCAACAACTTTCAACATAACAACGCCGACTCGCTTACGCGTGCTATCCGGAATAATTTGCAGAATTGCAATTGAAATAGGGCTGTGAGTTGTTTAAAGCCAATTATCCGTTTGCGCTGCTTAGAAAGCATTCTAATGTCCTGTAGACAGGACGTCAAAAAATAGGTACAATGAGACCAATCACCTCTATGCGTTCTCGTTTTACTGTCCGTCATCACCACTTTCCAAACAATCCGCGGCAATATGATGGAACTGTTGGCAAGGAGATTACAGACAGGATTATGAGTGTGTGGTAGAACGTATGTAACCCTCACGTATAGAGTCAAGTGCTGTGTATATCTTTTAAGCATGAAATATGTCCAGATAGAGTTGTCGTCTGTACGGGCGGCAGCTGTTGCAATGAACTATTCGCCCCCCGAGATCTTTTGTGACGTGAGGGTGGCATGGACTGTCTATGGTGGTGCTTCTGTTACATTTGCTTTGCCAGTTGCTATAGTAAAAGTGGAACCAGCAGCAATAACAAATGCAGCGTCAACGAGCAGCCACCGCTTCTGCACTATGTTTACCTGCAACAACAGCGGCGGCAGCACCGTCTGCATTAACGTGTTCCGCCCCCAACGTGTGATTTTCACGACCTTTTGGCCGCTACTGAAGTTGTTTGGATTCGTACATTTATTCACTCGCTGGCAACGCTAACAGCGCGATGGCTGTAACGCTATTTTTTTGAAGGTCAAACCGTTCGATGCAATATATATATATATATATATATATTTTTTTGTTACTACAGTGGCAAGATGGGCGGGAAATCAAGTAAGCGACCAGCCAGGCAAGTCGACCCAGACAAACCAGCCAACAAAATTCACCAAATCAACAGATAGTCAACCATTGAAGCGAAACAAAACGGCTTGTAGACGTCGATCGGAAACAAGAGTGTATCCATGACAAGACTTATTAGAAATGGCATGTTTACACCCCGACTATAACGATCACCACCAGCAGCGCTAGTTCTGCTGTACGCGCCCACCGGATCCCATAGAATGCGCTCAGAGCTACCAATTCAGCGTCGCCGTGACAACTGTTGTTGGTAATAATAAATCGTGACGGTAATGACTACCGCCGATAACCAACTGGACGACAAAATGTCCACTCCGTCGGCTACTGCTCAAAGCCAACGGCAAATCAACCCTGCTGTTTTTCTTCTTGGTGATGTCCGTGATGGTTGCGCGTACCTTATACGAACAATCGCAATGTAAAGACAGATAGTCAGCCAAACAGGCCTATATATGGGTACACGCCACACGTACGACTGCCAGTTGAGGAAAAGGGGGAATTTGCCCACAGACTATTGAAACTGTGCGTCGACCAACCGAATCGTTTAGCCGTACAAACCGTGTTGACGGTACTATACCGGTGCGACAGTCGATGCACTGCAAAGTCAATGCTACTTGATATGGGTATGCTACCGGCGTTTGATCATGTTGTTATATTAATGTAAAATCTACAGACATCTACATCTATAAAACAGTGGCGACAACAACGGCCACGCAACGAAACAGCGTCAGGGAAGTTAGCATGTGGTGAGATGCTGGCTTTCAGTAGAAAACGGCGAGCGAACGAACGACTAAAGTCTATTTGCAATAGCGATGCCATCGTTCTATAGACATTTGGATGTATGTGCGTATCGTATGAAGGCGGTGGATGTCGTACCGACATCGCCGCTAAAATTGAGCTGCTTTGCCCCGGGGCCCCATAGGCGCTTTGGTACCGCGCCACCTGTAGCTGTATGAATTGCACGAAAGCACAGTAATAAGTCTTACGGATTTAATCATAATTGCCCAATCGGCTGTGGGAATGTGTGACTGGGTCCAATCAAACATCTACAACCACCATTGGTCAAGTGTGCGTCATATATCGCCATACTGGCTGCAATCACTGGCCACCGATGACCGAACAGATGTTACCTCTGCAATAACCCGCCGGATCAGTCGAGGCAGACAAATATATTTTTGCCTAACGCCTTATTTTTGCCACTCGCAGTAGAACATGGACAAAAAAAGGGGGGAGGGGGAGGGGGAAGGGGGGCAAGCGTCTGCAGCGTTTTTTCGCTGGACAATTCTTGACTTACGTATGCGAAGAACTGCAATAAGGAAACACCGTAAGCGGCAGAAAAGACCGAGCATTCCTCACAGGCAATTACCTGTGCCCATCCTCGTTTTCATAATCTTCCAGCCATTGTAGTAAGCTTCGCTCAAGCACGAAACATCTCAGGCTCAGGAGATATCCTTAAATGTCGCCTATTCGGCTGGCCATGACGAACAAAATAGATTGTTTTTTCTAACACATTATCTATCACCGGATGCCTATACCTACTTGAATTCTTTTCAAGGTCGTGTGCAACATCCCGCAAGTCATAATGAAAAATCATTACTTAATCTCATTGAACACATGTCCTACTACTGCGTAAGTACCGTATGGTTGTATGTATCTGTTATACTAAAGATGTGATGAATTCGATGCTTATGATTATTAGAAACGTGACAAGGTTATGACGACAGATACGTTAATGAAGACAGCCACGTACGTTACAAGTAAATTCGCAAAGACGATTGTTCGAATAGGGAAAAGGGATTCTAAAATGTAAACTTAACATGAAGGCCATCTCGTGCTCCAGCTGGTTTGAACCCTGGCTGCACGATAACCAGAGGTGGCAATAATACTACATCAGTAAACAACGCGTAGCGGATTTTCACAGTGCACGCGTTTTAGCCAATTCATGCATCAAAACATTATTATGTAAGAAGAGATAACAAAAAAAAACAACGAGGGAGAATTGGCTGCTCGGCTAAGCTTTACCTACGCGTACTTCTCGTCACGACAATGTAATTGTTATGCTGGTACGATTTGCTCCTGCCTCGAGCTGCTGCTGCGGCGGCTGCTGCTAGGCGATTCAATGATTTCCCCAGCTAAATATTTATTTATATCTACATTATTAGCTGGCTGCAGCCGATCTATCTCGCAGTGATAGTGCGCAGACGCAAGGGCGGCCAATGTCTATTGCGCGGCGCTGCGAGCTTCTCAAAGAGTGACGATTTCACATAGATCTCACAGCGTTTAGCTCTTCGAGCTGAAACGCTAAGTTGGTAGAAAAAGAAATGATAGAACGGCTCTTCAGAAGAGTCGGCATATAGTGTCTTCTGCTTAGGTATCAACAAATCGAAAGAAGGCATACGACAACTACAATGCTCGTGTCGAGGGTCGATTGGCTGGACTGCACTTCTTCTGGAAGAAGAAGCACGACCGGCTGCGAGAAACCGTTGAATCACAGGTACGTTAGGCTGATACAATGGTTTATGTTAAGTAGGGACTATTTATTGTCGTTTCTTCTGAATGAGCATCGTGAATTCAGACGTTCGGGATTCGAGAATGAGTCTGACATTGAAATGTGCATAAGCCCTATACCATTACAGTGTTGAAAACGACTACATGCATACAGATACAGGTCTCCTAGGATCAGCCATACCGTGAAGAGGCGTGTGTCCTTTGAAGTGATCATGTACACTTCAAAGGATATGGACAAACGTTTGCACGCAGTACATGATGTAGATTGAAACTCATCCATTTGGTGTTTCGACGTTACGTTGTACCAATAAAAATGTAACTGTGGGTAGTTAACGAATTAGGCCAAATTAGGCGAGTATCGTCTGCATACATGCCTATGTTTCTTCTACCGACCTCCGCCGTTAGACCAGAAGCGTTCACTCGATTATCGCCAATACATTAGTTGCGGATTGTGTCGTCGAGCAAAAAGGCGAATCCTTTTTCTATCTTTCCCGCGCGTCCGTTACAATATATTCCATGGTACCGTTGTGGCGACTACAACGTCGGCCTCCAACTCCTGCTAAAGTGATGGTATTTTGTCTGCAACGTTCTGCTGTTACGTTGTCGGCGTGCCATGTCTGTCGCATCAAATAAGATAGATGCGTGCATACTTCGACGCCGCGGTACTGGGCGGTAAAATCGGATCGCGCGCGCGACTGTCTGCCTCGGTTCAACGATCGGTGAACGGGCGAACTTTTTCAATTTGGGGCAGCCCCAGAAGAAGACCATCTGGGATGGTCTATCTCCTAGTGATGGTCTTAGTAAACGTTGATGCAGCTGTTGCTTATGTTGCTATTGCTGTTACTCCGCTATAACCTGCAGACGAGGGCTACCCAAGATCAAACGACTGCTACGCAAGAAACAGCTTCATCTAAAGGAAAAAAATAAGAGATTCAATTCCCATGTCAAGCTAGCTACTTTCTTAACACTGACTCTTCGACAATTTTAGTTAGATATTTACTCGAATAACACGTGTATATGGGAAGTGTTTCAGTATGGGACACTCAGTCAGAATAGACTTAAAACAATAATTATTACTCATAAATATAGAAAACAAATAATAGTAAACGGAAACGGAGTCTATCGTCTCTAGTACCGTGACTGGACATGAATTAAGGCACAACATTCGGAAAAATTTGCTTTTTTTTCTTTGTGTTGAAGATAATATACACTGAAGTGTAGCTTCGTTATGCCCATTATGGATGTGCGGAACATCGAAATCATTTTGGTAGTCATAAAGTCATTCGTGCCTATAGGGATCAAATGGGACATATTATGAAGTATATAGGTATTTTTGTTATTGAGGCATCTTCACACGGATCTGGGTCCGTCCGTATATACTAATCTACAGGTCTCTTGGAAATGAGCTGGATCTCTTGAGTTTGCACTCAGGCCAGCAGCAGTGTGAGGCACAAAGCTATTTCATCCCATAATGTTGACGGTGACAATAGGTGAAATTAAGCGTGTTTGCAAAACGTGAGCAGAAACGCAGCTGGTCAACGGTTCACTAGAGGAGTCTGTTCTGAGGGAATCGTAGCGTTCGTGAGCGTAGTAGGAACGCGCATTGAACATTTGAATACCTGAACAGACACTAAATGCCCTAGGGGACAGATAAAGCCACCGACCTGGTTCTATGGTCCGTGCTGATGACTTTATTGTCATTATATAGCAGTAAAATGTGGCGGATATGGATCTCGTCGGTTACCTCATCGCGAGTTCGGGGAAACTGTTACACCGCTTATAGACGGGAGATTTCGACGCTGGCTGGCGTAGAGAGTCCGTGCCAAACTGAAATAGCAAAAATGACGCTCGGAAGCCAACCATTTGGTAGTGACCGATTCGTCGCTTCGAGTAAGCTGTTATTACAGAATTTCGTATAGAAATGTATATCCACATGGAAATCAAATTGTTCATCAAAACGACGATGTCATCGTCGCCTACTACTGACGGTTCAGAACGATGACGTCCCTTCAGCGATTCCACCATTTTCCAGATACTACGAGTTCATTAGAAGGTTAAAAGCGTTGATTAAACGTAAAAGGTAACGTAAACTTTTTCGTGTGCCTAAAGTGTGTGAATAATAAAATTTTACGGTAAACATTTGTTGTTACATATCGCTAACGGTGGTTCCAACCTTTCGACGGTTGTTGCATAAGATCCGTTGCATTTTACACAAACGCGTAGCGATGTTAGATCAGATCTAGATTCCGATCTATGGAATTATCTTCCCAGTAATCTAGCATTAATTCATGAAACAATACGAAGCACCCATACGCAGTGATAGCTTGCCTTTCCTTTTACCACTTCCGAACGTGCGAAACTTTTCGATTTTTTTTAATATATCGTGAATTTGCAGACTTAATAACACTTAACAATGTTTCCTTTTCCCATTGTTTCGGTCGAAGCGCGAGTGGCAAGAAACTACGAGATCAGATACTGTCCATTACGTCGAACAAGCACATGACAAGGCAAGGGAGAGAGATAAGAGACAATGTTTGATTTCACTTCATAGAAATGCTAGGCTTCATATATTACTTTCTCCTGGTTCATTAGTGGACTTTTTAAAAAAAAAACTTATTATTTCGACGCCAATGTCTTTTGACGACTTGACGTCAATGTCAATTAGAATTCATCGAATTAATGCGACGACTAGGACACCCGTTGTTACACACTAGCTAGCAGCTTTTGGGTCACCATCCGAATAAACTTACTACAAACATGGCATTGGTATGCCTTAACTCTAAGGCACAAGGCAACCGCGTCGAACAGGGTGGTTGAAATTGATTCCACTGGAATACTTTGGGTTGATGCTTATTTTTCACTTAAAGCTAGCATACCCGTTCATACTTGTAAAAGGGGACCCATGTCCTAAAGTAATTTTTGGAGGTAAGTCTTAAGTTTCGTTGAATTCTGTAACTTTTGGTTTAAACAAGAAAACACGACGAATTAGCAGCTTATGACGGTAAGTTATATCAATATGAGAGTTGTGCCTCTTCTCAGAGGCTACCCACTAAATTAATAGAAGCACGCATCCACACTGGACCAGTTTTTGCATAGAACCTTACATTTTGAGTTTGTAATTATAAATTGGTATTATCAACTTAATTCCAACAGTTTGTCACTTCGAATTTTTTTGGTTTTTTCTAGGACATCCTACATACTTCGTCGTGCATTTAACAAAGCGGCCAAATAGTACTGCTTGACCTTTTACACACATAATTGTGAGTTATTTTTAAAATTCAGTACTTCTAGAGCTATGCATTTAGGACAATAATCCTTCTATCCTGGTATTATCAGGCATTCCAGCTAGCCACAAAACCTCATCATCAGCTAAATCGGAGTGTTTAGATTTACAAGTTTTTTCCTTATCCTGTGCTTCTCCTGGTATTCCTTATTTGAGGCACTAAGATATGGCCGGATGTGGCATATGAAGGCCTCGATAAAAGTTGTAAATGAAGTTCGTGTAGATTGACGCGTTTCCATACTCTGCGTAAATTGCTATGGGCGCAATGTAGCTGCATTATTTTCTGTAGAAAAAACTATCTAGGGGTATACGTGGGAAGACAAAAATTTGTCCCATTGACAGAAAATTGAAACACATTTCGGTAAACTTCTCTTTACGAAGAATATGAGATTATAAATATAATAAATACTTATTATATTATAATAATGGGTTGAATCAGGCGTAACGGTGAGGTTAGAAATTATCTAACCGAACAGTATGGTACATGAGTTACCATCCTTTAGATAGTCTTACAAGATAAGCTCCTACAGTGGATACGTAATGAAACAGTATGAGCAGACATGCTAATAATGAATATTTTCTTGGCGTTTTTCCTCGAACGGATTCACCGTTCCAGTGGCGACAGGAGCACCTCCAAGGAGGACGTATGTCGCGTAAGGCAACATCTCCCTGACAGCTTGAAAAACGTAACTTGGGAATTTGAAAATGTTCACTTATATTTTTTACCACTATTTTCTTTCTGTTGATATTTTGGGACACGTAAAATGAAAAGTCTCAAGCCGCCTGGTGACTTTTTTCATTTGTCTAAATACGTTTATTTCACCCTGTACGTAGAAATCAGGGGTAATCGTCAGATTGTTGTACAATTCCGAATGGCTAAGCAGCTGTAGATATCAACTGCGGCGTGTTTTGTTGACGAAAGCGCCATTGGCAACAGCATTTCGTAGGCCTATTTTTGACCTTCTAAAAAAACGAGCTGATCTGCGATTATACGAGTACACTGGACATGCGTCTTCGCGTGGCATCGGCTGACCTTCACGTAAGGGCGCCCGTTTCTACGGCGTGATGCGGCATCTGCTTTATCGACAACAATTCCAATACAGTACAGTCGAATTAAGTGATGCACCTTTCCCTCAGAAATATGTATCTTATAAATGTGTATACAACGTTTCTGGAATGCTAGTGTCGTAATAATAACATTTAGATTATGATTGTTCGTCACTCTTATCACCGAAACCCGAGTGCTAGTCGGGGGGTGGTTGTTTTTGTTGTAGCCCAGGGTTTTTCTCTTCTATTTCTATATAATAATAGTACGCCAAAATAACTCCAGATCACCACCAATCTTCTTCTATCATTTTTCAGACTGATGCCTCCACGAATTTCAGTGCTGCTGGTAACAACTTTGGATGTTTGCCTTACGTTTATAAGCCCTCTTTTCCCGTTTCCCCGACGTCCTTCTATTTTCTTTGCTATTTCCCGTAGGAAGACGTACACATTTGTAGATTCGTAGAAGTTTACCGGCGGCCCAGTACTGTTTGTGTGTGCATCGTTTTGCCAAAGAAAACTGAAAAGATACATAAGACGCCACTTCGATCGACAGGAGTTGGGGCTGCGACGACCTTGACCACATCGTAACGGTCATTATATCTCGCGTAATGTATCAAGTCGAACACTAATATTAAATTTCGGATTGTATGTGCCTCAAGGGACAAATGGTCAAAGATTAAATAGCATCAGCAGTGTAAAAGACAATATTAATGTAAGAGAAGGGGACGAACAGAATTCGAAAAGAAGAAGAGGAATAAATTTAGCTATTGACTAATCGGAAATACGTCATTCGTTAAATGACTGTCAGCCACAAAGTTTGAAGATAGTCGTGGTGAGATAATATGATGTAGTTGTCCTGTTTGTCTTTGAGTAGGTCTTGGAACAATTTATAAACGTGAGACAAATTCACCAGTTCAAAATTTACGTGTACTTGCTACAATCTGTAAGGGGAACTAACCGTTTGATTATTTATCCCATAGACCTGCGAAATGAAACGATGGAAAGACCAACGGTTTCATAGAAAATACACGCCAATAGGTAGAATCATAGTCTAACACACAGTGATCAGCAACAGTATTACTAACGATAATAAGAGTCCAGTCACTGAATGATTTTTTACACCGTAAAAGTAACAACGCTGGTGCTATTAGAACATCCTCGTATAATTCAGTATTTATCAAGAATGTTGATCTGGGCTAGATTTACTTTATCAGCGCAAAACGCCGAGCTGAAGCTAGTTACGATATGATTATGTGTGTTATGTCAAAGTTCGGCGGTGCCTTCAAGACTAATTATTCATTGTCTTATGGGCGCTGTCAAATCGGTAACGTTTATATACAAAGTGTTATAAAATCACTACGGCTTCTTGCCCTGCTCTCTTGAAACAGCGGTACCATCCAAACGAAAATACCTATTATATATCAGAACGTCAGATCGAATCACATCTTAGCATTATCTTGTGCTAATAAACGATATAAACACGTGAACCAAATTCTGAACCGATAGATCTCTATAATTCAAGCTTTGTAATTATGATCAGGGTCCCGACTATCTTCATGGTTAGGCAGTCGGCCATCGCCGTTGTTTGTATTGTTCCACAACAATAGCTTGTCCAACGAACCGTACGACTAGCCGTGATCACAAGCGGGTTCCTCCTTATTAGCACAATATTTCTTATACCGATTATAAACGGTAATACACAACAAGCATTGGATGGACAGACACCCTCACATGGTAGATACCTAAAAACGCGAGGCGCCCAAAGGTGTAATGATAGGCATATGTTAATTAACTATGATGCTTTTTAAATAGTACCAGTCATTTTGAAAAATACGTGCGTTTTATGTGAGCGATCACAGTTAGACCAGGGTGGCGCTGAGATTCCTTGAGACACTTTTCACTTGTTACAGGTAGGTTATTAGAAAAAAAAAAACGTAGAAAAATGAAATGATACTGGGGTTTGATGGTGCTGATTTACCGGTCGCTCTTTTATGATGCAATGCCTGTAAGCAAAATGGACCTTTCCGATTGCTCACATCGTCATACTCCTAGGATAGAATTCCAGTTAATCCTGACGAATTAGTGGATGGACAGAATATTCTCAGCAAATGATGGTATAACAATTGAACAGACTTGCGAACGCGGTCGGTTATTTTTATAGCAACGCCTTAATGTGTGGTAACGATTACCACCGTTGTGGAGAGACGAAAAATCTATGCGGTTTTAGCGTATGCCTACGTGTTTAGATTATGCTACGCTTTACAGTGTAGATAAATGCTCTATGAATATTATTATTACCGACGTCGCGTGCGTATCGAAATTCAAGTCGCACACGTACGACGCTATTGGGGTTTGAGCGAATATTGGCTTTAAACGAAATTGAAAACTTTCTAAGTCGATGGTCTGCGTCATCGTCAGCTTCATTCGACTTCTGAAGAGCCTGAGAAAGACATCCAAGAGGCAAACTTGAAGATCTTCAAATTTAGAGGGTTTGAAAAAACATGAAAATGTCTTGTAAAACTTGGTATAGAAATTGATTTGCGTTTTCTACATAAGCTTCAGCGGCATTTCTTGCCTTTGAACCCTTGTATCCTTGGGACTTTTAGCTTATTATCTATTCAAGACATAATTCCAGTAAATATTTTTTACATACAAGGTTTCTTACAGCTCTTTACTGAGCTTGTGCCCACGATTGTTGCTTGACGACGCGCTGTTGCAACCAAAACGGTTATCTGTAAATTAAAAAATGAATCTTTCTAAAACTACGAGCAAGTAAGTTAGGTCCAAAATTTGAGGTACAATCGTAACGAATGGTGGTTTAATTAAATAAGCATTACTGTGAGAATTGACACTTGTAGCATATGTGAAACATTTTGTTGAAATCTTTGTTTTTGTTTAGAAATACTTCGTAGAAGGCAGCCTCAATTTAAATGTACTACCCGACAATTGCTAAGGTGCAACATAGCAGTATAATTCTCCAGCGCCAAACAGCTATTCAGAATCTACAACTCACTGTAATCGTATTCTATACAAAGCTTATTTTTTTTAGCAAACGATTGCCAATTTGTTTATACTCTCGAGATCTCAATGCAGATATTCTGGGAAATATATACCGGAAACATATATATCGCAACATCTCAATTACCCAGATGTCTTCTCTCCTAAATTTACCTTAAATGGAAATTCCGATAACCCAGTTCCACAGGGAGTCCGCAAAAGTTCTATAGTAATCTCTCTAGTTGATAAAACGTTACGTGCGAGATGATGGCGAATACTCATTATTGAATGTAAGGCTATACACATCACAGTGGCTTTGTCCATAAGGACTATAAGGTGCTGCTAATAGTCCTACCACAAGGTTCCGCCATGCCGTCGACAGATGCAGGTAACCACCCAAGAGGTCCGCCTGTCTAAATATCGACATAACACCTTCAGTTTGAGCCAATATCATTCCTTCATGTCTGAGGCAGCGCCTTGGTCGAATGCCATCACACGGATCTGTTTGATTCTGTATAGTTCTACCCCTGACGCGACCCTTTGCCAATGAGTTCAATTATGCTTATCGTTAAATGAGTGAAAACTATACATATACATATATGCATTCTTACAAACGATATTGGCCGCTCATCTGTATAAAAGTATGTATCTGTTTGTTATGTCATTGCAGAATAAGAGAAAATATAATGATTTATAGTGGATACGCCTGCACTGGTTAGACAGTAATGCCAATATTTTAAGACTATTGGTATAATGAGCGCTCATAATAAACATTGTTTTCCACATTACCTGGTAATGGAATATATTGTTAATCCCGTTGTTCAAACACCCTAGCGATGTCGAGTACGCAAATGGCTTGGCTGAGAGCCAATGAACCAATCAGCAAAACAGCGTAATGCAAAGCTCAACTGTACTTCAGATAAACTTCAAGTTCGTACAATGCTTATGGGTATTTCTTTCACAAGAAAATAAGTTAGCATTAGTTTAGCTTACTATCAAATGTTAAAAAGTTATTATATCAGAAAGAAGTTATTTCAGTGAATACACGCTAGTCACCTAGTCTTAGAAGCTTCCTTGTCTTAAAATACAAGCGGTAGTATTATCTAGATTTAAGTAATCTTCTCCTTGTGTGCCGAGCAGCTGATCGGGCGTAAAAATCTAGATAACGGCCCATATGTTATGCTGTGATAACATAGCCAACGCTGTTGCGCTTTCTAATCCCACCTACAGCACGTTTATTAGAGGCATGGATGCTAATCTCGACTAATAGAATGTAATTGTCGATAACATTTGATGGACCCACAATTGACTGATAGCTTAAACCCCAAATCAAATTCAGTGTCGACAAATGTAAAATATTTCTAACGGCATTACACATGTCTGCATGACGGTTTTGACACTACCGCCTCTATAGGGACTGATCTTAAATTTATGGGTTGTCGTGTCAATCGCTGGGGTAGGGAGTGACACTTAGGACCAGCCCTCCGTAGGTCAATCGGGTCCATAGTGCAATCGAGCGAACGACAATTGCTTAGTCAGGCGGTAGTAACCGTTTACTTGGTCAGAGCTAAGTGGTAATCGTTGCGTGTACGGGCAGAGGAGTATTTTCTTTTTTAGCACAATGAAGGGTTCACAGATGAACACTCAGACATTCTCACAGACATGCATACGCCGGGGAGCAAATTCAAGTACACAATTTAGCAGGAAGACAGGTCGCAAATTATACTGAGGTAGCATACAGGCCATTTTAGATGAACGGGAAATCAACTAGAAGCCCGAACAAGACCACACGATCCGTATGGAATCGTTACAACGGCCGCAGTAGCTGACTGAGGTAGAAAGCAATTGACACTTTCGCTTTCACCGTTAGCTCTACCGTTGTACATCGGGGGTCGTAGGCGTGGAGCAGCGGAACCGTAAGTCAAGGCAAACTTGTGGAAGGTACGCAAAGGTGGACTGGATAGAAGCGGTACGTACGATCGAAGTATGGCAGCGCGTAACTAACCCAGATCGGTTAGTCGTTGCTGACTTTGGTTGGTATCTGTTTCGGTTGTGGTGGACGCAATAGTGACGCCAATAACGATGACGCCAGAACGCATGCACAGCATAAAAAGGTTTCCTTTTGCGCGCAGCACGTTGTACGCTACTACAATATGAGTGGCCACGCACAGTCAATGCGTGGCTAAAATAAATCACCGATTTACAGGCGGGGAGTTTACCAAGGTCGCCCTTCTTCGCGGTGACGGTAGCAGAACTGCTGAGCATGCAATAGTGGGGTTCCAAAACAGACTGAGCTGGTGGCTAAACTGCCAGTGGTGACCGTCTTGAAAGGGCCGGACCGTTAACATATCCAGGCTATTTGGTGTGTCTGTTTAAGTGTACAGTAAGTGAATGCGTGACCTTGTGTATGTGTACGTGTGTGGGTGCTCGCGATCAGCAGATGCGAAATGTGGGGATTAGGTGAGAGATCCCGATGGCCAGAATACGGCAGAAAGGGGCGCTGCAATCCCTATCAGGTAACAGCAAAAAAAAAAACTCGGCTAAAATCAGAGCTATGAAAAAGCCGACTTTTAATGGACCGGACACACGATAGTACAGTGGGAAAAAATAGCCAATGCTGCATTATTTCTACTGCTATTTTTAAACGGTATAACAGCGGCAATGAACAGATCGCGCGGCAGACGTGCAAGATGTTGCTGCCTATTAGCTCTTGCCGTGAAACCTGTTAGGATAAAGTGGACGACCGTAATTTTCAGCTATGGGCGATTAAAGTGGGACGTTGTTACTGACATTACGCGATAGCGTTGGTCGATATAAAGTCAATTAT